AGGCCAAAGGCAGCGAAGGAGGGAGATGTACGGTATCATTGTGCTGCGTCGACGGGGAATAGAGGAGGACGAGGAGGCGTTTCCATGGGAGTGCTGCTGTGTTCTTCTCGAAACAGACGCATTCCCTTATCTCCTGCCTGGGGAGAAACAAACACTGGCAGCTCATATGAAGGGGAGTTTCCCTGGATCTATTTGAGCTGCGTAGAGAAGCAACAGAGCCCTAATTGAATTTGAGGGCGAGAGAGAGAAAAGTGCAGGACTTGCAGTAAGGACATGCTGTCTGCTGATAGCAGGACTATCTGGACATTATGTGCTGTGTCAAAGCAGGCTTTCATTTAATTTACATAAAAAAGATCGTCCTGTTAAACAAATATGTAGCACAACATGAATTTGTATGAAAGCTAAATGTGTTAGCAGAAACATATGATGAGTCAGTATGTTTTCTTACGTTTGTCTGTTTGTCACAAAAGTTGTATATAACGTTAGTGGGCTGAATGCCGTACATATTACATATACTTTGTCACTTTGAGCTGAAATATCAGGGTCCTGGGTACTGTGCTACATACAGCTGCCATGCTAGCAGTGGGGCTCTATGGCGATGTCAGTCTGCTGATTGGTTAGTCAGCAAGTATTGACTGACTGAGGAAGAACTACTGATTGAATCTCACTACTCTTAACTATTTGATCAATTTCTATGCAATTTGAAACATATTCATGTTCCTCTCAGGATTATAATCACTTTGATGATCCCATTGACCATCATCAGGTCAAAGTTCAATCAATCAATTCTTTGGTGTATAACTACCTGCCAAACCAATGACATTCAATTCAGACTTAGCTGCACTTTGTGTTTAGAGCTAATTCGCTAATTTTAGCGTGCTAACACACTAAACTAAGACCTAATACCTAAATATCAACATGTGAGTTTGTTGTCGCTGACATTTGAATTTAGTTCAAAGCCCCTCTGTCCCTTAGCACAGCCTCACGGAGCCGTTAGCAGTACTGTAGACTGGTTTTACTGTATCTCTGGCCTGCTTCTTGTGGTGTTACGATGCAAAATTTCCTTCCTGGGTGTCAATAAAATGCTCTTTTCTTTTCTCCAGCAGGGACTTTTTGTAATTCTGTTTTATTTAATGGGAAACCCAATCATCCTATCGTCGCTGTTGAGTTAAAACATAAACAGCTGAATTAAATAGGGGCTTAACTGAATAGTCTTGTAGAAATAGAGAGTGATAGAGGAGACACGGTGATTGAATAAGCAGAGGCTGTGTGACGGAGCACACATTGGGATTTGTCTGGACAGGCCTGTAATTCAAGGGAAGGAAAGGACCTTAACCTAGATCAGTATCTATCACTCCAGCAGGAGAAGAGAGCTCAACACCCACATATTTGTAGGAAGGGAGAGGGAGAGAGAAACCGAGGTCCCTGATGGGAAGTAAGTCTATGAGGAGGAGGGAGAGAGAGGTGGAGGCGATGTAGATACGGATATTGGACACATCTATACATGTGATGTTGGTTCCTCAGAGCTCTGACACAGATGGGAGGAAGACAAAGAGGGAAAGGATGTGAAAGTAAGAGAGAGACAATAACAGATAGAGGAAGGAGATCAACATGTTGAGGCAGAGACACAGCTGCCAGAGAAGCAGAGTGCAAATTAAATTACACCGGAAGGGACAGTCAGGTCTGGGTCTGCAGGAAACACTGCACATGGGGCTCTTTGTGTGAGTGTGTGTAGGAACACATGTATGTGTGTGATATAGACAGGTACATAGAGAGATCAAAAGGTGTAAATAACACAAGAAGAAATAATAAAGAAATTAGACATTACATCTATTGCACTTCTGCCCATCCTGGGAGAGGGTTTCTTTCTTTTTTTTTCCCTGTTAAAGGGTATTTTTGGGGGAGTTTTTCATTATGCAATGTGACGGTCCAAGAACAGAGAATGTCGTATATTATTGTATAGATTGTAAAGCCCTCTGAGGCAAATTTGTGATTTGTGATATTGGACTATACAAATATAATTGTATTGAATTGAAAAGAACAGAAAAGAAAAAAGACGGTATATAACATAACAATCTACAGAGGGCTTCACATTGTGACTTGTCATAGTAGGAGAAGCACAAGTGCTATTAACATAAATGATGGCGGTTTTATTCCCAGTAAGACATGATAGTGTGACATTGAGCCAGCATTCTCCATAACAGGACACTGAAACCGGAGCATCTAAATGGAATCTTATACACCTAAGCTTTTCCTATGTCAAAATATCTTTGGCCCGATCTGTGCACACACTTTCAGGAAGTGGAGTCTGACAGCCACAAGTCAGAACAAATAAAGACCAACCTCAGTCAAAGGCAGCGTCTGGCACTCAGCCGCAAGCCCATTTGTTCCTTCTGAAGTTGTATATTTTTTAAAAAACGGGTCACACATCTATAGTTTATTTCTTTTTGTAGAGTAACTCAAACAGAAGTAAAGCACTAATGAGTATTTACGACAGCAGGACAGGGTATGTGGATCGACTCTAAATAAACTGCGGTGCCTATTTTCATGGAAATGAAGAACCATGTCACCAAATGCAACAGCGTGGCTCACTGGTTTGTTTTTAATAGTTTTTGGGGCAACAATGGAGATCTATGACACAGATGAACAAGCTCTGTGAGGCTTTAGCTACACAGCTAACACTTGCTAGTACACTGTAGCAACACATCATTATCTGTAAACAAGGCAGGCCCAGTGACAGACACCAGCTTGATGAAAGCTAGCTATGTTTGAATGATCTGTCCATGAAGATTACTTAGACTATGTCCTATTATGTGTGCATGTCTACTGTTTATACGCGTTGATATTATCACCTCTTTGTGAGAGTTTCAAATCTTCAATCCAAAGTTGTTCTTACTGTCACATTCACCTCTGAACCTTACCTCGCGTGTTCCCCTATTCTTTCACCTTTCTTCTCATCTCACTGCTTATCTGTTCTCTCATCCCCTTCACTTAAACAACACTGACAACGTACGTCCACAGTATACAGAAACACCACCGTGATGTTACGGTTGCAATTCATTCAAACCATTTGAAATGGAGCCTTGAGCAGTTTGTTTTAAAATGTGGACAAGGAAGTAAAAAAGAGGTCTGAAATGAGAGAAACACGAGAGATAAGAGTGAACAGCAATAAGTATTGTTTCGAGCTGTCTACTGTCTTTTTATTGTCCAGTAGAGTGCTTCTTCAAGGAGCGGTGGTTTGTGATGCAGGCCCGGGGTGCTGTGCTTTCACAAAGGTCACACGAACACTGGAGCAGATTAGCAATTCAGATTGGGCTAAAGGGGCTAAAAGGCTGCTGTAGCCCTGCCTGAGTCTGATTACATTAGCAAAGAGTAGGAGTGCAAATGCACCATAGCGATTAGATGGCATGAGAAGGAAGCAGCTATGAGATGTTTTATGAAACAGGTTCATGAACATAAATACACATACATTACATGCTCTGACAAACAGGCCGTATAAACTATGGCTCACAATAAAACCTCAGTATATCCTCCCACTAACTGGCCTTCCTCAGTCACACACACATGGATTATCAGCACTCACAGCCCAGCCTCCTGACCATCTGCCCTTGTACAACATCCATCTTGTATAAAATGTGTTTGGCTTGCTGGATCATTATTAGGGAAGTTTTAAGGGAAGATTTCCTGCTTTCCAAGGTCCATTCCCTGACCTGGTGATGCTGCAGCTCACCTGACTTTGGACACATATTTATAACAACTGTCACTATAATTCCTCACAATCTCAATATTCAGGACAAGGAAATTGGTTATGCCACGGTGCATCGAACACAAGAACATGTTACAGCACGGGAGAAAAGTTCATCTGCCAAGTATAAATAAAGCTCTGTGAATGCAACAGAATGCATGTGCTGTTCTGTACCAGAGGCAGTACAAGCCAGACAAACATCATACATCTTTGTTGTCCTTGTCAGACCATTCTCCCACATCCTTGAACCCACCTGATTTAGCTAATCAGGTATGGGTGGAGGTGGGTAAGATGCAGTGTAGCTGTTCGCTTTGTTCAAGAAATGAGGTTGGTCATGGTCTTTGTGCCGGATTAATTAAAATAATTCACAATGTAAGTACACAGCTGAAGAAACAAACATGTCTTCCGGAAAGGCCTTTCGCAGGGCCTTCTTACAGCAGGATGGACAGTGAGCACAGGAGGATGCACAGCTGTCTGGGGGAGAAAACGCCTCCGCAACAGTCCAGTGCACAACAAATGAACCAGATTGAAGTGGAATTCAACCAGTGTATCCCCACCATGTTACTATTTACAGGTACGTTTATTTTGCTTCCACAGGCGGGTGGGCTTTGATGCCTAAAGTAACACAAGACAAAGTGTGTTTGTCTGCGTGTGTGGACCATGTAGACATAGGTATGCCATGTTGTTCACATGCGCAGCATGTACTCCACAGCCTGAGGTATGTGCTGTCTAAGGCTACCGTGTTATGGAAACAACAAGCAAACTGGGAACAACACAAAGCCTGGATTAGGTGCAGAAATCACTGGCGTGCTATTAACGATATTGAAATGAGCACCACTCAGCAGCCCTTCTCTCCCCTCATCTCATAGAGCTGCGGTAGTGGTGCAAGCCTGGCCCTTGCTCCAAATGTCAAACGTCACTTCCACAGCCACAGGTCACAAAGTAGTCCATGTTAAAAGATTAGGTTTGGAGAGAGAAACGAGGAAGAAAGAGAGGGAGGGAAAATGATGAGGGACTGTGGGAGTCTGCTGACCTGTCCTCTTGTCCCCCATGCCATGTGGTGCAACTGTGTGTTTGTGCAAACCCTGGCAGGCCAAATGAAGGCTACTGGTAGCCTGAGAGCTAAAAAAAAATAAATACCAGTACACTGGCAAATATGCCCAACGGTTGCCATGACGACTGTGAACCCACCCCCTTAAATGCACTTGTAGGTGCGCGTGTGTGCGCGCGCGCGACCCAGCCTCGTTAGTCCTACCTTGCATTCCTCCATGCACGTCCTAACCGAGTACGCATCCGTCTCGTATTTCTGAACCAGCAGTTCAAACTCCCGGTAGTTGTCCTCCGCCCGCTGGTCGAGAAGCTGATAAGCCCGAACACACTTGCTGCATCCCAGCAGATCCACCCCCATGGCCATATCCAGGTTGCAATTCAAATCGTCCGGACTCGTAAACCCGTAAAACAAATCCAAAAGTGAGTAGGAATTACAAAAAGAAAGGTACAAATCGCTCAGATTCACGTACGCCAGCGGTGTCCCTCTCTCCCCTCCACCGGAGAGGCCCAGGCACACGGTCCTCGCGTCCGTGAAAGTAAAGCAGTCTTTGGACAGGCTGTCTGGATGACAGGTGTCCATTCGCCACAGAGGTTTGGTAGAATTCCCTAGAAAAATAACATCTTGCTTTCTTGCGAGACGGTTGGGGTCGGGTGATGGTGGGATATGCTGTCGGTGGAGGGAGTTTGGGTACTCGCCCGTGTCCGTAAAAGCAAGCCCCTTGTCCGACCGCTTGTCTCGGGTTCGCGTCAGTTTCGCCTCGGCGCAGAACCACAAGTGATCAGAGAGCAGGACGGTGATGAACAGCAGAGAGGCCAGCGACAGTCGCCATCTCTGGGCCCGCTCCGACTCGGTAAATGGCTTCTCGTTCTCTCGGGGTGCAAACCAGTATTTTAAGCCCTCATCATGCTGCCGACGCATCCAAGCACCCCTGGTCATATTTTAGGAAAGTGCTGCCCTGGCCGACTCCACCGCGGGGGCTGCTTTGCCACAATACTCATGGACTTGGGGGGAGACGGACTCCGGTTTATTCTCCTCTGTAACGGTGGGGTGCCGTGCCTCCGCCGGTCCAGGGCGCTCCTCTATCGCGCCAGCAGCGATCGGTGCTATTCCGATCCAATTAGCGCGCCCGCACAGATTAAGCTTCGCGCTGCCGCATCCTGGTTCCCCATGGCTCTTCGGGGGGAAACGGCGTCCTCTTTGACCGCATGCCCCCCTCTCCCGACCGTCCCTCCCCGGGGTTTGTTCTGTCGTCGGGGGCGCAGGGAGACCAGCTGTTGGGAGCCTCTCGGTACTGATGCTGCGCGTCTATGCTGCCGCCCGTTCGGTTGGAGGATTCACTTAAAGGAGAGCAACGAGCCCTTTCGATGCACGCACACTGTCCGGTACCTGGGTGGAAAGCCTAGAATCCTTTCTCCCGTTGGCCATTGTCATCTTGAACCGCGATTAAGTTGCCGCCATGTTCGTCTTGAAACACTTTTTCGGAGAGCTGGGTCGGTTTGCGTCATCTTCATCGTTGCGATAGCTCCATCGTTGCGCAGTGGCGGAGCAGCTTATTACCTATATGCACACACACAAACACACACACACACACACACAGGGAGGGAGGGGGGGAAGGAAGAGAGAGAGAGAGAACAGACACACAGAAAGGTGGGGTGTTTAGGTATATCCTCTGCTCTTCATGAGTAACAGTCCCCAAATATTGTCTTGGCAGGGCACAAACACACACTTTTGGCGACATCTTGCTTTTGGTGCAGGATAGACGCGAGTCCTTTCACGAGAACAGCAATGCAGGTAAGACATCACTCTGACTGTTTCGATATAGTCATTACGATGTATCGATCTGGCCCATTTCATACACGCAACGTATAGGCTGCATATATCGCAAATCCTCACATTGCATTGCTCCTTTTGTTGCTCAGAGGGAACGCAGCTGAAATAGACATCAAGAAAATCAGGGCTTTGACAACACTACTGAAAACTATTCATGCTTGAGCCTCTATAGGCAAGTGGAAAGCAGCTGAACAAGCAAGGTTTGAGCTTGTAGGTTTAACAATATCATGTACCTGTTCCCTGCAGGGGTCCTATCTTATCAGTTATGTTGTGTTTGGTCAGTGGGTTTAAAACAAACACATGAATTACACTATGGCCCTGTATGTAATGTCCCTGGTGTGTGTGTGTCTGTGTGTACACGCGTGTGTGTGTGTGTGTGTGTGTGTAGGTGTGTACACGCGTGTGTGTGTGACAGAGAGAACGAGGTGGGAGGGGGAGATAGGAGGTAGTTGCACTTAAGGTGCAGAAAGTAAATTACAGTATTTATCCTGGTCCTTAGAGCTATACTAATCATTGTCAGCATGGCCTGCAGTACCAAATATAAAGTGTTACTTAATGTTAATGGGCTGTAAATTGGGGATATGACAAGAGATGATTGCCTGATTCATTTGAGTTTAAGGCAGGGCGGGAGGCGACGTATTCTATACAGTTTGTTGTTAAAGGTGAAATGTGGTCATCTAACGCCAATCCAATTAGCTTTAGAACAGCCAGTGTCTCTCTGCCCCCCAAAAAATATGCAACAACATATTAAATAGTGCAGGGACTTAAATGAATATGGTTTATATTGTGTGTAATTGCTATGGGAGAACAGCACTGAATTTCATCACCATGGATAGCTCAGCACTTGCTGCTGTGTGTAAGCTGCAGTTTACTCAGTTTCCTGTCACATGTGTTTATTTTGTAAAACTACTCTCAAGCACAACAGAAATAGATGTTTGTTCTCCTCTTGTTGGTGGCATTGCACCTCATGTTGAGTGTACTTCAGAGTTAACCTTAAAAATCACAAACCCTGTACTATTTCTGTGATATTCTGTGTGGGGGGAACAAGTCATGTCAACAACGTAATTTGCTGACTTAGCACCAAATGTTGACGGGTGCTCAAACAAAGGGATTCAATTGCCTCGATGTTTTTAAACCCCTTCTTCTCTGATTCACAGCCGATCGTGTTGGAGAAGGGAAATTCACCATGCAGGGCGGGAATTTTGGTATAGGAACATCAACTGCATTTGAAACAGTGAATGGTGTCATGGCAAACATCTGTTGTGTCATTGCTGAGGATGCTTGGATGCTCATCACTCATTGCTCTCACATATTATGTTATTGCAGGATACTGTGATCATGCCTCGCGGGGATAGATGTCCTACTTTGGCTGGGATTGTCTCGTCTGTCTTTAACTGTAGTTGCTCAATTTCCTGCTCTGTCTTTGACCCTAACCCTGTGTGTGTGTGTGTGTGTGTGTGTGTGTGTGTGTTTGTACATGTGTGCCTGCCTCCCCCTGCCCTGTTGGTAGACATATGGATATAGGGACCATGCCAGGAGTTTCATAATACCATTTCCAGATCTGCAATTTGATTGGTTCGAGCTGAACGGCTGACTTACGTCAGCTCCTGAGAGGTGTCCAACCAACAACATACGGAGTGTGTGTCTGGCACAGCAGAGAGTTGTCACTTTCACACCACTCGAAACACTTTCACTACCTGTATGTGTGTGTGTGTGTGTGTGTCTGTGTGTGTGTGTCTGTGTGGACACACACACAAAGTGTTTGTCTGTGACATGAGTGCAGATAGCCTTTCCCTTAAATCTGGAGCTATCACGGTAACAGTGAGGGCTGGCAGACATGACTCGCCATCGGGGAAAGTGTGTGTCCTCCCTGAAGTGTATACTACGTGTGTAGAATTGGTTGTATTTCTTCATTGTGATGATACAATAGCTCTTTCTTAATCAAAGGTAATTAGCGCACTTACCTCTATTTCTTTTAAAGTATGTAGGGAATCAAAACAGATGAAATATCAATAGGCATTTGCATATTCAACATCAAAACGCCTGTTATATCTATTTTTACATCATTGATCTGCCTGGCTTGTCAAAGCTCAGCCAATCTATTTATGAATATCTATTTAAAAACGTTTAATAAACAAATCAAAAATAACAGAGTGGGGGGTCATTGCATTTTCACTACTCTGTTTGAAGCTTTTTAAGGCGTGCTGACGGCAGTAGCCTGGTCCATTGGGACTTGAGAACAGGAGGGGAACAAGTGAGAGTGGACTGATAGCCTCTTGGGCACTTCCAAGGTGCACTTGCTCGTGGTGCGGAACCCTCAACTGCTCAGGGTGCCTGCCCATGGGCAGCCCCGTCTCTCTGACATCCTTCCATGTGTACAGGTCCTGTTTGTGCATATAGTGTGTAACAAATAACAGAGTAAAGAAGTTGATTTTACCCTCAAGGATCAATAAAACATTTCTTTACTCTGTGCCTTTGGCATTCCTGATGGAGGGAAACGGGGATGACGAAAGAGGTGGACAGGACTAAACTGGACCTGACGACAGTCAGAGGAGGAGAGGAGAACGGGGTGAAAGAAAAGAGACAGGTGACAATAAATCCACTACCAACGTGAACCTATTAATGAATCTGTCACTATCTCTCTTTACTTCTGGGTTCAAGATTGATGCGCTGTATTCTCTTTCTCTCCTCTTCTGTATTCACTTCTCCTTTTTAATGGTCTGACAGCATTCTGTTGCTCTCTCTTACTGCCACCATTTCTCTCCATCTTTTTCTTCGTTCTTCTCCCATTCAGCTGACCCTATTCGACTGTTCCGATGCGACTCCTCCTCTCGCTCACCATCACCCTGTCTTCCTCTTTCTCCTAGTCTCCCTCTCTTTCGTCTGCCTGACGTCAGAGAGGAGAAAGAGAGTGGCTCAGCCTCTCTTGATTGGTCAGAGAAGACAACACCCTCAGCCCTGGCTTACTGTCCTGACTGGATGTTACAGATCGTCAAGAGATGTGTGATTTACGGTTAATGGATCATCCCACTCAAGAACAATAGTGTATTAACCTGCAAAGGTATGTTTGTGTTCATTTGTGTGTGCATGCATGCTTGTGTTTGTGTTCATGTATATTGTGTCTATGCATTCTGCTGCTCTGAGTGTGTCCCACTGTGTTGATATCATTATCATTTGAATGCAAAAGTTCACTCTTGACCTTAGGAGTCATAGTTTGATAAAAAATTAACTCGAGGGCACTTCAACCGCATCTCACATTCTCCATCAGTGAATTGAGTTTGCTCTATCATCATAACCTGTGGAACTTTGGTCATGTGATAACAAGTAGTCATTAATGTAATATTAATTTAATATTTACTGTATATCAAAAAAACATACTTTTTAGCTTTTTAATTTGAGCTCTTCTTCAAACTAGGTGTAGTATAAAATTAACTGCTTACAATTTTTATATAAAAAAAATGTGTGAATGTCAATGTATGTCATTATGTATGTAATGTCTTACTTACTTACAACCATTGATTTCCATTTATTCTTTTATGGTATGAAAAACAATTAAAATATTCTTGAAATTGTCTTGACTGGTGTTTTATTTCATTTATAAAAAATTGTGCACTGCGCTGCTTCATAACTTTGACAAATAACAAATGCATAGTTGTATAATGGATGACAAAGGAAGTCCAACAATGGAGAAATATATGGAAAGCAATGGCTGCCTGGAAGGTAAAAAAACAAAACATGAAACGCCTCAGGTTTGCCAAATACTCAGCAGTGATGTGAATTATACATGATTGCCATAAATGGAATAAAATATGCAGACTTATGGTCTTTGCATGTATGTGATAAAAGAAATGTACATTGTTCAGACTTTTGAATTGGTCACTGGAATTGGATTAGGCTGATGATTGAGATAACGATCATGCAAATCAACCTACCGCCCCACCCACCACTACCCCTGCTCCGCCTCAGGGTGTTTTACTCTCCTGATCGATTGGCTCACCCCATTTCCATTCCAGGAATCCCTCAGCGGCTTATCAACACAGCTCACTTTCCCAAGGACACTGCCTATTCCCATATCCATGATCCTGGATTCCTGGCCCATATTCCCACGTGCACCCTGGATCTCTGCGTTCACCAGCATCCAGCTTCAAAGGAAATGTGCCTGTCGGGGAAGGCAGAATACAAATACATAACAGAGGAGACAAGTTTGTGTTAGAATAAAATCTATTGATGTCAAGGCCCTTCTGTTATGTGTATTATTAGCATTGTTTGACTAGCAACGTAGACAGCTTATGTTTACCCTTTTTATGCTCTACTGGTCAACATCTGATTTTAAATATTACTGTTTTATGATATATACTAACCACAACATCTAATACAGTCTTGTTGTAAACATGTTCGGCTGTATCACTATAACAACAGTCATATAATTAAATGTATTTGTGTTTGTTAGACATCATCCTCTCTTACCCTGGTGTTACATCACTGATGTCCTGAGACTATATGCACTCACAGTCTCTACACAACCTCTCACACGGGGATTGCTCTCTCTGGAAAGGACCATAAGGCTGTAGAAATGATAATCACACAGCGGGTTCAACTCTTTTTACTCCAGTTCTAACAACAAAACAGACTTTTTTGTCTTTATGCAACAATTAATATGCTTTTTAAGAATTGTGATGTGAATTTATCTTTTAACTAAAAATGACTTTTTAGGATTATGACGGTTATAAAGAATTGATG